GCTCTTGGGGCGGCGCGGACACCCCCGCGGTGGAGGGGCGCCCGGCCTCAGGGGAGGTGGGGGGGCTGTGCTCCCAGGCGGGAAGTGCCCGCCCCGGCTGGGCCTCGTGGGGCCTTGTGGGCCTGGGGGTCCCGGCCCTGGGCCACGGGCGCTGCGCTATGCTCCCTCGTGCCGGCCTGCGCGGACCCCGGCTCAGACCCGGCCCCTCGCGCTCCCCTGCCTCTGGGGGGCTGCTCCTCGTGCCGGCGCCCGAGCCGAGGTCTACCCCCAAAGGTGATATGCTCAGTGCCGCCGCCCGGGGCCTGCGCCAGCGAGTGTCCGTGCCGGGACCGAGCGGCTTCGCTGTCCTGCTTCGTGCCGGCTTTTCCCTGTGCCTCAGCCCCTTCCCCCCCGGCGCTTGTCAGGAAGTTTGGCGGGAAGAAACCCCTCCCCCCTCTTTGCTGTCCATGATTTGTTGCCACTTTTTTCTTTTCAAATCCCTACATACTTTTAACATTAGCAATAGTTCTGAGTTAAAATGCCACAGCTAACGTGGGTGACTGCCAAGTCTGACCTAGTTAACTTCGGGATGCCATGCCTGCTTGCTTAGTTCACCAAGCTTGTGGTGCCTAGCTTGAAACAAGCATTGGAGAACAGATTATGGGATACCCTGAAGTTTAGGATGTCTCCCAACAGACATAAGCATGGGACTCCTAAAGATAAACAGATTTCTTTTGCGGTCGCCTGGGAGGAAAAACGATAGAAGAATGGAAAATACTAATTTTATAAAGGTGTTTCCAAATGTTGTTTCTTCAAATCATGGGCTTAAAGAGTTCTGAAAGTAGAACACCTGTGGACCAGTTTTTCTTATTGTGAGAGGACATCTAAAAATTATTCTCTCACTTAATAAAAACTTCTTTGGGTTTTCATGAAGAAAAACTTTACTGAATATGGTTTCTTGGAAAAGGGGGAATACAGGTGGCACCACACATCACTGATCCCAAAACAAGACTTTGGGTTTATTTCATAATTGTTCCTATGTTCAATACCATTCTAAATGGTATGTTAATGTTAGAACACCTGTACTGAAATTAATCCATTTTAGTTTGTGAAAACTGACACAACATGACCATTTCTCTGACTGTCTTGATTTGAAATAATTGTCTGAAATAAATGTTGTGGAATATTCCCTGTAGTGACTCTTTCAATTTTTATCTTTACTGGAGAACTTGATCTATACTATAGTACAACCATGTAATTATTTTGGAAGAATGAGTAGAACAGGCCGTACGTGTAGATTGACTTTGTGATGTGTATTTGACAAAGGTCACGTAACCATGTAGGAATTCAGTAGAGGAAAGCAGATCAGCAGCCACTGAGGTGGATTCAGTAAAGTAACCATTAACAAAATGTCAAAAATTATGGTTAAATATGGAAATGTAAGCCAGCAGACTAACTACGTTAAAACATTTGGGGATGTTCAGTTCACATTCAGCCCACAAACCATTTTTACACTGCATGGGATATTTGGAACTGTTATAAAAACAGGCAAAAATGTTGGTTTACTTTTTTTTAAGGAAACATTCTATTAACTCTTTTGTAGTAGTCGTGCAATACTTTGTGGCAAGGTATGTTGCATATAAGCAGGAAGTTGAAATTGGATAAAGACAGAAGTGCAGTCTGTTTCCTCACAAACTTGCTGTAGTCTAAAATAATTAAATGGGTTAAATGGCACCTTTGCTTTGTCATGAGTCTTTCCTATTTCAGTTTAGTTTGGATTTTTTTAAATTAACTTAAGCAAAACTAAAATAGGGTGCTTAATACAGAAAAGATGCACACAAAACTTTAGCGTGCAGGTAACAATCATGTAAACTGATTATTTCGCAAATTTCTACATAGGATGACCTGAAGTATCTTCACTTCAAAAAAATAAACCGAAAATTCATTTTCAGTAATCCATTAGTAGACTGTGTTTGTGTTTAATATTAATCTTGATGATATTTTGCTTGTTCTAGTGCTTGGAAACAGTCTGCATAAACCAGAAATCCTGAACCCAGGTGAACGCAGCTTCCAAAAGAAGCACTCATCTTCCATGAAGCTACTTAGAATGTTGAGCTTTGCATGGAAGCTGCTTAATAAACATAAATAACATATTCCAATATGTTCCAATAAGCAGACATTACAAGTCAAAACTGGTTGAGAAGACCATGGATTGAGAAAAGGTGTGGGGGAGGGGGAAGAAATACATATGTGTACAAGCAGTCAATACATGCTGTTTAGCGCAGGCTCCCTTAGCGCCTTTGCCTAAATGAGGTAAGCTGCTTTGAAGTACTTGATAATTTTAAATGCGTAAATATAACAGTTTGACTAGTGAGTGTAGATAGGAACAAGCTTCACAGTCTCTGGATTAGAAACATGCAACTCAAATAACTTTAGGCTTTTTTTAAACTTGATTACAATATGATATGGGTCCTCTCTGAATCAAGTGAGGTCTGTAAGGTGACACGGCCCTGCCTCCTACTGTAGAGCAGTGTGGCTATAACCAGTGCTGGGCATGATGAGCTTACTGTCTCTATTCCAGTAGGGATAATACCTACTTACAGGGTTGCTGCTTTAGGAGTTAGTGTAGGTTGTGTACACACAATCAGATAACTTGGAACAATTCTCCTAGGCTTGTTTTGGTAGAGAAACTTATTCAGAGTTGCGTGTATAAACATTCAAATACTAAGGCCATGAAGAATGGAGAGCTTGTAGTGTGACACTGCACACAGGGTGTGCCCTGGGCACACATCTCAGAATATTCTGCAGGTTTACTTAGTCTGCCTAGCAACACATGACAATAATGCATAGAGCAGTCCTGATTGGCTCACCCAGACTGTCCATGTTCAGCCTGTTTCACTGCAGCACAATGTGGGGATTATAAAGGGGAGATATTCTTCTTGCTGGAGCAGCAGAGGCCAGTGAGCAACATACTAAGTGCATCTACATGTGCTATTAATTCAATTCAATACACTCCAGCACAGTTTGCACCAGAGTTTGTGTCCTGGTACCACATTTACACATGCACCAGGGACTGGAGCATGCTGAGCAGCCCTGCCTGGCAGGGGGCTCAGGTCAGCCTCTTAGCCCAGGGCTACTCCAACCAAGCTCAGTCTGCCATGGAAGGGCTGCCTGGGGCACCAGGGGTGTTTTGTTGCAGGGCTACCTGGCAAGCAGCCCCTGCACTGAAGCACCCTCTTGCCCCAGCCAGCCCCACCAGTGTCTACACGTGCATTGCGGTGGAGTAAATAAAAAAGCTACAGGATAGTACCTGTGTTGACAAGTACTATCCTACAGCGGTGTTAATTATTTTACTGTGGCCTAATAGAGCCACACATGTAGATGCTGAGACTTTACTGCAGAGCTAATTAGGCAACTCCGCAGTAAATGTCTTGTAGGCATGCCTGCCCTTTCCCTGAGGGGGGAGGGAGGGGATGCTGGATGACTGTTCTCTGAGAGAAGCCCCAACAGGTACAGACACTCTCCTGGGAGAGATTTAACCCTGGTTGTTTCTAGGTTATTTTTGTCCTGGAGCAGCCATTTTTACTCTGGGAGAAAAAGTCTGAACATCTCTACACTCAGTTTCTCCTGAGAGAGTCGCTGCTCTCCCAGGGGAAACCAAACAATGTTTGTACAAGGCTGTAGAGTGTACTGAATTTGAAAAGTGATACAAATGTATAATTCTTAAGAAGATGATGGTAGCCATGAATATCAAAAATACTACTTGATAAACCTGTCACTAATTTTCAAGCCCTATTAAAGTTTTCCAGTAACTTGCCAACCTGGACCTTAATCATGTAGTAGAGCCCAAGTGGGAATATACCCATGCCTGTATGGCAGTGCTTCTCAATCTTTTAGATTCAAGACAGCCCTGCATAACCTTTTCAGAAATTGGTTGCACTCCCATTGAGAACCACCATTGTGCTGCCTCAGCTTACCTGAGTGTTTCCCAACTCTGCTGTCACCAGGTAAAAGTGTTCTGTGCCCCTCATGCACAGCCAGCCTGAGAAGGGCTGTTGTGAATGTGCGTTCCTGCCTCCATTACGGTTATCTGGTAAACTAAAGCAAGCAGGAGTGCCTACTCTTGTCCTTTCTGGTCATCTGGTTCAACCCTCCCCCCCACACCTTTCCTAGAAACAGATATGCAGGGCAATTCTACATAGACTGTGTGCCTCCATTTTTGGGAGATGCTGTACAGGGTTGGACTAGGGAGGCTGCTGCCTTCTTGGTCTAGCTGTGCATAAGACATCTGGTGCCTTTGCTGGCAGCACCCCCTGAAAGGGTCTCTAAGCACCTTGTTTGAGAACCACTGCTATATGGAGTTTGATGCTAAGTCCTTGTATTTGTATGAGGCAAAAAAGTGGGCACGGGTCTTTTAGGGGCCCTGAACATTTTGGTGGATGAATAATAACAGCAAGCCTAATTTCTTTTTGCTGAATTCTTTAGATGTCAGATTGTTTTCATACTTCTGCCAATGTCACTTTCCTTTAAACAGATATTCAGAATTCTCAAAAAAAAATCTACCTCTTCCCCTTTCCTCTTAACTTCCTTGAGAGGTCAGTTCAAAGAAAGAAAAAGAAAATTCTTTGCTTCTGATTTCTTTCTTTTATGTTTTGTGAAAAACAGTTACTACAAGTCTTCAGATATGAAAGGAGTCTAAATTCTGTCAGCTCTAAGAATCCATCTGTTTCATGTTCCTGTTCTGGAAAAAAGATTACCTGTTTATTTATGTATGTATGTATGTATGTA